CAAAGGAGGCTTGAGAGCTCTGAGCAGACAACAGAACAGTCAACCAATGTTGTTGAGAAGCAAAGGTGTATCATGTGTTTCAGTGGGGAGGGGGACCAGGAAAAATGACTGTACTTGAAGAAATGTTGTCATTTTGAGAGAAGGAACCACACTATTCAGACTGAAAACAGGATACATTCCAAAAAAAAAAAAAAAAAAAAAAAAAACTTTTTGGGGGTTTAAATACCGAATGCTGCCAGCATGGTGGAGCTACCCATATCTGAGCTGCATTTAAAGTGAGCAGCTTAAAATACATTAATGGATGCAGTAAAAAAAAAAAAAATCTTCATTTCATCCTGAAGTCCTTTGGATTTTGCATTTTGCTACACCAGAACATCACACGTGATTGTCTGGGTCCACCTCCTGTGTTTTCAGCTCTCTTAGCAATACCAGGAGCTCAGCAGAAAAAAAAACAAGCCACTGCAGTTAAAGTACGGCAATCCATTTAATTAAGTGCTAAGGCAGATTGATGGTGCTCAGAATAAAATGAGGATAATGGGTATATTTCCCTCTACTGCTAATATAACAGTCTTGCCAGAAAACCTCCAGCTCAGTGATACCATTTTGATTCCCAGAAAATGAACATAGTAGTGATAAGGAAGGTCTTGTGAATGTGGAACATGAGTGAGTCAAATCTGACTCTGGCTCCATGCTGAAGCTCTCACAGCCCCCACGGTCTTTCCTCACAGGTCAGCAAGTTCCATCTACACTCAGCCCTACTGTCTGGCCAAACAAGGACCCGGTGTCCACCAGTGAGCCGCGGGTGAGTCATCACCGCGTGTCTTGGACAGTTGGATTAGTCATCCCTTCCACCTGGCTCCAGAGGCACCCAAAACTGTAAGGGCTGAGCAGGACTTCATGGCAATCATCCTCCATAATTCAATAATGAGTGGTTATTTCACTTGGGGGTTTTGTAACCACATGGGCCAGGCACACATCTGTACTAAGAGCTTGAAGACGCTTGGAACGGGCCCCATACTGCCATGGAGATGGCACACTCCATACAGAACACACAAGGGGACTCACTTAGGGAACTGACTGCCACACATAGAGCGATGCGATGACCAGAGCCTGCAACGAACCCCAAGCAGGACCAGGAGAGATGTACAGCCATGCCTAAATGACACAGGCTGTTGGGATCATCCTGCAGAAGTACCCAGAATGAAGCTCAAAAAGGGTTTTGGAGACAAGGGACAGTGAGGTTTTTGTCAGGGACTGACGCATCCTTCCAGTTAGGATCCTGGAAAGGTGGGACCTCCAGCAGCTCAGGAGATGAACTGCTAATGAGAGCTCCCACAACCCATCCATAAAAGCATCTCCACAGTATCCAGGTCCACTTTCCAGACCAGCTAATTCTCACACCACTCTGTAGGACAAGGACACAACTGAGGAGTCCTCATCAACAGTCATCTCAACATTCATAAGGTACAATACATGAACAACAGCATTGGGACACACCTCTAAATCACTGAATTCAGGTGTTTCATTCAGACCTATTGCCACAGGTAAATAAAATAAAGCACCTACCCATGTAGTCAGGTTTACAACCATTTGTGAAAGCATGAATCGTTCTGAAGACCTAAGTGAATTCAAGCACTGGGTACTGTCATAGGATGACACCTTGGCAATTTCTTCCATTAGATATTCCACGTCAACTTTACGTGGTATTATTGCAAAGTGGATGCACTTAGGAACAAGAGAAACTCAGCCAAGAAGTGGCAGATAATGTAAAGTAACAGACTATGGGTAGCAGAGTGCTGTTCTGTTGACTCAGTAACTACAGAGTTCCAAACTTCCTCTGGTATTAACCCCAGCACAAAAACTATGCGCTGGGAGCTTCATGGAATGGGCTTCTACAGGCGAGCAATTACATGCAAGCCTTACATCACCAAGCACAATGGCAAGCGTTGCGTGGAGTGGTGTAAAGCACGCCATCACTTGACACTGCAACAGTGGAAACGTGTTCTGTAGAGTCACAAATCACTCTTCTTGGTCTGGCATTTGGATGGACGAGTATCCAAGATGCAAGGAGAATGTTACATTAACTGTAACCGTTAACTGTATTGTGCCAGCTGTAAAGTTTGGTGGAGAAGGGATAATGGTATGGGGTTCTTGTTCAGGGCTTGGTCTAGCCCACAAGTTTAGTTCCAGTGAAGGGAACTTTTCATGATTCAACATACAAAGACATTTTGGACATTTGCTTCCAACTTTGACGAAATGGTTTGGGGAAGGCCCATTTCTGTTTCACCATGACTGTGCCCCAGTGCACAAAGCAAAGTCCATAAAGACATGGTTAGGAAAGTTTGGTGTATAAGAACTTGACTGGCCCGCACAGAGTCCTGACCTGAACCCAACTGAAGACCTGGGATGAACTAGAATGGAGATTTTGAGCCAACGCCTGACCTCACAAATGCTCTTCTGGATGAATGGGCACAAATTCAAATTCAGCGGTTAGAACAAGGGCAGAATGATTAATCGATTTCAAAACGAAATTGTGATTTGAAACAACACGATTAACAAATCACAAAAGCTACGATTTAGGATATACATTATACAGCACGTCTGACCCAGGGTTTAAAACTGTCGTAAGAATAGTTTTACAAATGAATGCCATCCTCCTTGTGTGACAGTCATTCCCACCAATTAGAAGTGCCATGCTCCTCACGTGCTTATGCTTACCAAAACAGAAGCCCAAGGCCACCCCCAAACAGCAAACATGTGAAACCCAATAAAAACGTTACATTTCCGATGTAAAAAAAATGCTGATTCTGCTGCTGAGCTACAAGTGAATTACCTACCTATTTCTTGGTCAGATAGTTTGCAGAAAGGTCCTATTATTTATGGAGTGATTATTGTAATAATTCTGTGGTTGCATAAAATAGATTTGTGCACTTGTACTTTAGTTTTGTAAACCCGTGCAGAGATGTGTATCTATCTACTGTATGTATGTGAGCCATTGAAAACCAGACACCAGTTCCCTGTGTGTTAACATACTTGGCCAATAATATTGTTTCTGATTCATGTAACTGTCTTAGAATTTACTCAGCAGCATTTATGTGCATGTTGTGACACTGAAGTGATGAAGACTTGAAGGTAGCTTGAATGCTTGACAGGCTAAGAGTACAGACTAACAGTATGGGTTAATCGTACAGCCTAAAAGACCCAGGTTAGACCCACACTACAGGAAGCTAACAGTACAGGCTAACAGACCTGGGTCTGCCCACCCTCCAGGAGGCAGTACAAACTGAATGTGGCCTTGCGGTCACCCAGCCCTGGGTTCGGCCCACGCTCCAGGAGGCTAAAAGCACAAACTGAAGGGGACCTCACGGTGACCGATATCTACACAGAAACCACACCAGCTGCTTAAAGGACCGGCACTCCCAACAGTATGTTATCAGTAGCATTTCAAGCTCAGAGCAGCGCCCCTGCTGGATCCCAAGTCCTCTAACGCCTGTGCAATCGATCTGGGACCCTCCACCCACTTCTGCCCCTGCCCTTGGTGTGCATCGTGGGTATGCTATGCAGTGATGAACAGTGGATATGCCAGTCTGCCAGCAGCCTTGGTGAGGGCATATCCTGGCTATGAGCCAAATCTCCATGGTTACCCCAGGAGGTGAGCACCCCACCCCATGCATCAGCCCCTGAGGACGGGATGATGACCACTGTGGGGGCATCCGAGAGACAACCACCTGGGTCACAGGAAGATGCTTGCTCACATAACCCAGCCGCAGAACCAAAATAAACCTAGCAAGTAAGGAGTCACACTTCTGACCACGAGGGTTGTAGGTCCAATACCCCATTAAAATAGATATATAACTCTAGTAATAGAGCAACTTCAGTAATGGCTATTAAGACACAGAACTGCAAACTGTGTAAAAATAGTTAAAACAATTGCTTGCTGTTAAGAGTCATTAGTCATTAAGTAAAGCCATAAATCGGTACTGTTTATACAAGGTTATATTAAATCCATTTAGTGATTTTTTAAATGGTAGCAGAAATCGTGTTTGGGCCAGTTGGCTGTCAAACACCAAGGCCAAAGGATGGGACTTGTGCTACCTCAAAGAAAAGTGTGGTCTGGATAGAGCCATAAAAATTTGAACCAGAGGCCAACATTGGGTTTGCCTGCCCCATCACCTCACAGTGAAGTTCTTTAGTTAGATTGCTGAAATCTGTTCCTGTCATCTTTTCAAACTGCAAAGGTTTAAGTTCCAGTATAACCATATATGGTGTAGACCTACATTGTTTTTACAACCCTCCACGACAATAGAAAACTGCACATATTAGTGAATATATTATAAATCATAAGGCAATGCTGTGTGGATATTAACCAGACTGGCAAATACTCGCACGCGAAAAATGAATTCACACATATGTAACAATAGACTTTTACTGGCGGCGCCATAAAATACTTATGGTAGTTATAAATATCTGCATAAAGATGCTTTATAAAGAACGTCTAGCATTATGTACAACTTCCATTCGCAGAGGAGCACAAAAGTTGACGAAAGACCGGCCAGAGAAAGCATAAGCGGGGGGCAGCGTCAGTGTAAACAGCGTGAGGCACCGCAGTCTCAGTCCGGGGGAAGTAGCCCTTCTACCTACTCATATCCATATGGAAACAGTTAAACCGGTCAGGTAAGGGACAGTAGAGGCAGGGAGCAAGATATACCCATGGCTGCTCTGTCTTAAGGACACACTGCACGCACGCATGACGAACGCATCCAACTGCAAAGCGAATAACCATTAAAATACGAAGAATGGCACAAAACCAAGGAGTAAAACATACAGATTCCAGCGGACATTAAAAAAACACAACTGGGAATTGTAAACATGTACCAGAATTCAGCACACATACACATAAACACAAAAGCACTGTAATAAATTCATACTGTGGGAAAAGTTACACTGAATGTACGGGTAGATGTAATAACAATTAAATTGGCACTTTGAAAAAGATTTACCTTTCACTTGACCCTCGTACTCCACAATTATTTCCTTGTCCTTTTTGAACCTGGTTTGATTTGACATCTTGGATACCTCACACGGCTGTTTAGAGTTGGTGTACTGTAATTCAGCAGAGATCGGCACAGTCCGCTCCAGCTGCCAGTGCGGTCTCACGCAGCGTAGCGCATCTCAGTGCTCCCAGTAAAAACAGGCTGGAAACCACGGCAATATGCGGCTACACTAAAAGCCAAGGGAGGTTTACATCTTTCCAGCCCTCGCAGCGTCTAAGTCCGAGAATTACAAAAACAGTCGCAGTATCTGAAGACGAAGTCACAGATCGGAGGAAAGACAATGCCTACCAAACGGAAACCTTGACTGCGATTGGCAATACAGCGAAAGAGCATTCAGCCTTGTGGAGATCGGCGTTTTCAGCATGTATTCGGCTCGGCGACGAAGCAGACTGCCACAGCCGGCAAAAGGACTGGAGCGCTGCGATGTGTGCTTCCCGAATCACACGGAGACTGGCGGCCACAGCACGCATCACACTGGCTAGTCTCCCAGACACGGACGAGGAGGGTGGGATTGCCGAGGATCGTCTGGCGGAAGCGTGCAGCGGATTGACAGATGCCCTCACCATCCGGACTATCGACCGGGTCACCGGAGGAGAGCAGCAGCGTAACGGGGCAGGCAGATTGGAGAAGCCTGAGCGCAACAATAACGTTAAATACTGATTACATTTAACGTTAAATACTGATTAAATTTAACGTTAAATACTGAATGTTTACATACCGAGCAAATTCAAGTTTATGTAAAGCAACTGGCCTTTAGTTTGACCACATATTTATGCGTGCCTGAATTTGATTCAAATTCTAAAATGAGAATGCAATACAAGGTGCATTTTATTTTAAATATGATCCTATATATTGATATACTCTCTCACTTTCGCCTGTATACATAAATGCACAGTGTTCACGAATGTCTTGGACAGTTCTACCTCTATTTTACAAATCTAAAGTAGCCTAACAGGGATTAGAGATAAATGTTAACTGGATTTGTTCAATCTGTATGACCTGATACAGCAATAAATATTGTGTGATAAGATTGGGTACCCCTGCTTTACAGGATAAGCAGAGATGGATGGATGGATGGATGGATGGGCGTAACAGCAGAATCTGTAGGCTAATTCCACTTTTTCTAATGGCTACAAACATGCGCACATACTCCCATCTAGTGGTATATTATTTAATATATAAAAAACATACACCTTTTGTTTGTTCGATCATTTATTCATTCTTTTCCAAAGCCGCCTGCCCTGTGCATGGTTGCGCGGGTCCGCACAGCTCATTAACTGGAATGTCTAGACAGGCCTAAGGATGTTCCAGTTAATGAGCTATGTTATTCATGACTTCTGTGGGATCATGCTGTTAAAGAGTTATAACTTTTATATAATATTCTGTGTATTTTATGTACAGTACTGAACAGCAATAAGCTCTTGTTCTACAAAGGATTATTAAAATGCCAATTATTATTATTTTGTTATATTTGGGGTGTGGCTCAGTGGATTTGGAAATGTGCCCCTGATTGTAAGGTCGGTAGATTAGATCCAGTGGTTGGCAGAGTGATTTCACCACTGGCCTCTTGAGCAAGGCCCTTGACCCCAATTGTCCCAGGGACTGCCTGACCCCACTTTCTTAATTCTATGTCACTTTAGATAAAAGTGTCTGCTAAAATTAAGCTAATGTGTATATCTGTTATGCCCAGCTCGTCCGATCCTCGTATGTGCCACGCACACCTCGTTACATAAGAACATAAGAACATAAGAAATTTACAAATGAGAGGAGGCCATTCGGCCCATCAAGCTCGTTTGGGGAGAACTTAACTAATAGCTCAGAGTTGTTAAAATCTTATCTAGCTCTGATTTAAAGGAACTCATGGTTTTAGCTTCCACTACACTAGCAGGAAGACTATTCCATACTCTAACTACACGCTGTGTAAAGAAGTGCTTCCTCAAATTTGTTTTAAAATGTTCTCCCGCTAATTTCCACTTATGGCCACGAGTTCTAGTATTTAGACTAATATTGAAATAGTCATTTGGCGGAACAGCATCCAGACCCATTAGAATCTTATAGACCTAAATCATATCCCCCCTTAGTCTCCTTTGCTCAAGGCTAAACAGATTCAGTTCCGCTAACCTCTCCTCATAAGACATTCCTCTAAGACCAGGAATCATTCTCGTAGCTCTTCGTTGCATCTTTTCTAAGGCAGCAATGTCCTTCTTGAGGTATGGTGACCAAACCTGCACACAGTATTCTAGGTGGGGTCTTACCAAGGAATTATATAAGTGTAACATCACCTCCCTTGACTTAAACTCCACACACCTAGAGATATAACCCAACATTCTGTTCGCCTTTTTTATTGCTTCCCCACACTGGCGAGAGTGGGACATGGAAGCATCAACATACATACCGAGATCTTTCTTGTAATCAGCTACCTTTATTTCAGTGAAACCCATAAAATATCTGTACTTTATATTTCTGCTCCCTGCATGGATTACCTTACATTTATCTGTGTTAAATTTCATCTGCCAAGTATCAGCCCATTCGCTAATTAAATCCAGATCCCGTTGAAGCCTCTCTGCTGCTAGATCAGTATCTGCTACACCACCCACCTTGGTGTCGTCTGCAAATTTAACCAGTTTACTGTATGTATTTGTGTCAATATCATTAATATAAATTAGGAACAATAGTGGTCCTAAAATTGAACCCTGCGGTACCCCACTATGAACGGAGGCCCACTGTGACATTGTGCCTCTAATAACTACTCGCTGCTTCCTGTCAGTTAGCCAGTTTTTGATCCAAGCTGCCACAGTTCCTAAAATCCCTGCAGCTTTAAGCTTTAGCAAGAGCCGTCTGTGGGGGACAACATCAAAGGCCTTCTGGAAATCTAAGTAAATCACATCATAGGCCTTTTTGTGATCAATTTCACTTGTAGCGTCCTCAAAGAACTCAAGTAGATTCGTTAAGCAGGATCTACCTCTCCTAAATCCATGTTGGCTATCCTTTATAATGTTATTTGCATCTAGGTAATCTACCATTTTCACTTTTACCTCGTGTTAATTCCCGATTGTCACCTGTTTCCTGTTCCTCATGGCTTGTCCTGTGTATTTAGTCCGCGTCTGAGTTAGTCTTCCCAGATTAGTCATTGTATTGTCATGATGTTCGTCAATGTCTGCCCGGATCTCGACAATAAAGCCCGTTCCCTTGAGGACTCTCACCTTCCTGCGTCGTCCTTCTCCGCCCAACGTGACAGAATGACTAATCTCCTCGAAGGCACAGCGCTGCAGACCAAGCACCAACAGCTCGGTCTGCTGCAAGAAGTTGTGTATTGGCGGTCCCAGCCTGAGGTCCAGGAGGATCCCGTAGCCCTGGAACTGGCCAACCGGGGCGTGGACCTCCTCGCAGAGGAGGACACGAAAATGCCTAAAACGCCTGATGCAACACATGACGGAGCGACGGGAAGAGCGCATCGCCTGGAGCCTGGGTGAGGTGTCTGAACCGGTTCCGCCTTCCGCAACATGCGGCCGGAAGAAGCAGAGAGAGAAAAACGGGAGTGCAGCAGGAAGAAGCCCCGACAATCTTCCTGGGAGCCTGCTCTGTGTTCCCCGCCTGGGAGTCAGCCAGTGGGCGAGGGAGCTCCCCGCTCACCTGGGAAGACACCGCTGCTGCCCGCCTGATCGGCCTCAGTGAGAATCCGCCTCCCTTGGAGGCTTATCAGTACCGGCCGGTGCACCTGGCCGGCAAGGGGATCAGCGCCGTGAGGGACGCCATTTATCGAATCCCCACGGCTCTTAAAGGGGCAACATCCTCTTTATAGACGCGTGCTCGGGCAACCGTAATGGATGTTCCAGACCTGCCCAGTGTTCCAGACCTGCCCAGTGTTCCAGACCTGCCTGTCCCGCTTGTTTCGGCGGCTGTTGAGGCGCCACACGCCTGAGGTGCCTGCTGAGGCACCCCCTGCTGGCTACACGTCGGCAGCGCCCCCTGCTGAGGCGCCCCCTGCTGGCCGTACGTCGGCGGCGTCCCCTGCTGGCCACGTGTCGGCGGCACCGCCTGCTGCGACGCCCCCTGCTGGCCACGTGTCGGCAGTGACAGCAGCTCCGCCTGCAACTGCTACGGCAGAGGTCCCGCCTGAGGCCTCACTCGTCCATCCTGTCTCTCCGGCTGCACCGCCTGCCGACACGCCCGCGGCTCTGGCTGCACTGCCTTCTTCCGTCGCCACGCCCACGGCACCGCCTGATGACTTGCCTGTCCTGTTTACCTCGCCCGTCCTGCCTGTCTCGCTTGATGCCCTGCCTGTCTCGTCAGCGCCCCCAGCTGGCCGAGACTCGGCGGTCGTCGCATCACCGCCCGATTCACCCGTAGCGACGTCTGTTTCTTTCCCTCCAGCCCTGATCCTAGTCACCGAGGAGGTCCCAGACTGTCTGACTGCCGCTCTTTCCTCCTTGGAGGAGGAGGAACTTCAGTGGGACCCCTCGGGGACCTCCCTTACATCTCCTTGGCCCTTACCCCAGCGAGGCCGACACCCACCGAGGCCCCGCCTTTCTGTGTCCTGAAAGGGGAGGGGACACAAGCACAGGGCCGGGGCCCTGCCTGCCCTGGCCCCTGGCTTGCCCTGGCTTGCCTTGGCTGGGGCTCGGGGTGCGCCTGCAGGTCCTGCGGCTCCGGGTCGGTGGTCGCCTGCGGGTCCCCCTCCGATGCCTTGTCGCCTGGCCTCGATCCCGCCTCCGACTCCTCATCAGTCGCTTGCGGGTCCCCCTGCTCCGGCGCATCGGCAGACGGCGCCTTTGCCGGCTGTGGCTGCGCCGTCGCCTGCTGCGGCTTCCCCCTCCTCCTTACCTTTGCTGCTTCCCTCGTCTCGTCCTTCGCCTCCCCTGGGACACGCCCGGTGTGCGCGCATTTGGGAGGGGGTTCTGTTACGCCCAGCTCGTCCGATCCTCGTGTGTGCCACTCCCACCTGGTTACCTCGTGTTAATTCCTGATTGTCATCACCTGTTTCCTGTTCCTCTTGGCTTGTCCTGTGCATTTAGTCTGCGTCTGAGTTAGTCTTCCCAGATTAGTCATTGTATTGTCATGATTTTCGTCGATGTCTGCCCGGATCTCGACAATAAAGCCCGTTCCCTTGAGGAATCTCGCCTTCCTGCGTCATCCTTCTCTGCCCAACGTGACAATATCAGTGTAGCAGAATTATTTTTATGAATACCGCCCTGGACGTAAGAGTGACATTGCAATTAATTGATTGATTGATGGATGGGACATCATGTGAGTAAAGCAGGAGGGATTCAGTGTGTGTATGACAGCTACATGTTCTGTTACACATAGTATGGCCTCCATTTAATAACCTCTGATCATGATACTGAAAGTCTCCTACTCTTCTTAGACCTGTTTATGAGCCAATGATCAATTGTATTGCATAATTTAATAACACATTATACACCATGTTTTATGAAAAATAAGTATAACATGATTGTATATTACATTATATATAGAAAAATCTATACAAAGAATATGAATATAATACAATATTGTGATATCAATATGATACATGTTTTGTTTTATGAGTACTTGTATATGATGAATATTGTATAGATATTAAATATAGATTCAGTCAGTGTATGACATCTTTGTATCCTGTGCTTTATAAGGAGCAAATAAAACCACAAACCCTCAACCCATGTCTTTGTTGTCAGACACAACATAGAGGACAGCCATTAATAGCTGCCAAAGAATCTCTCAAAAAAGGCCATGGGTGAGATTTCAACCCCTGATCATGGAGATGAGGGTCACAACTCTACTAGATAATTTGTTGGAACATAGATGGACAATATAATTTCAACCTGCGAAAAGTAGTTAAATAGTTCATGTGAATTGGTCATGTAATTAATGAGTACATGCCGACTGAAACTAGAACACAGTATTACTGATATGCAGGCATTTGTTTATAACACGGAATTTAGTTTCAAAGTGCCCCCGAGAAACCCATAAAGACAAGCAGCCATTCAAAGTATTTTTTGGTTAGGCTGCTAGATTTGGAGTCAACTTGCCACAAGAAACCCAAGACAATGTGGAGGTTTTTCAGAAGACCACCATTAATTGCTGCTAATTAAGTGTCATTGCCCAATCAATGCTATAAGTATCCAGTCACAGTACAGGCAATATCAGATATTTAATAGACATTGCCCTCTGCTGTACAATAGTGCAACAGCAAGTTTTTAGAACTCTTACTTTTCCTTCTGAGCCATCCATCCATAGAACACTCCTCAGGTGATGGTCACCATTTCTATGGATTCACTTTGTCCATTTCAGCAATTCACCAACCACAGGGTGTTACTGCTTTCACTAAACACCCCTCCCCTCTAATAAATGACATCAGGCTTTTTAAGAGTTTATAGGTTTTAATTTACACATCCTTTATTTACACCAAACATCATACATTTTTGGAAGCTACCAAGATGGTAGTAAATGACATTTGTTGGTAAAACTATACAGTAGTAATGTAGGACCTGGTTTTGTACATGAGGAACAATCACAAGGATTACTAAATATGCACCAGCCGTCTGCTTAGAAACAACAAATACAGAACGAGGGAGGTTTTTGTGCAATCCCCACCATACAATTTATAGTGTTAATGATTATATCATGTTTGTTATACCTGACAGTCCCTACCCCAGTCCACAAGGCAGCTTCATTGCAGACTGAATGTCCTGGGCAGACCCCTTCCCTTAGCCATGTCTAAAGAAGGCTCGCTCTAGGGTCTCAGTAAAGCGCTCCCTCATCACCTCCCGAAAACCTGCATACCACTCAAGCAGGTGGCGCCTTCGCTCCGCCTTCTCAACCTTACTCCTGGTTCGCTCATGCTCCAGCAGGCCAGGCAGGTCCCGCCAGTCCCTAAGGAAGAGGAAGGGTGCCCCCTGTGCCTTGAGAAGGCGCAGTGGGCCAGCAGGTCCCCCCACACAGCCCCCAGGAGCAGCCACATCCTCTACCACCGGCACAGAGCCCAGGGAGCAGGCCTCGAAGATGCGATAGCTTTCTGCGTTGATGCCCACTGGGCACAGCGTGAGGTCGCTCTGTGCTAGCATGTCATGGTACTGTTGGAGGCTCTCGGCTGTCTCTAGGGGGAGCCACCTGCCACAGTGGGGCCATGAGAGTGCGATAAGGACATGTGAGCACGTCTTCCTGAGTGCATTAATTATCCACTAGTAAAACATAATTTACCATATAGTACAATCACTCAGTGCAATATTTACAACAGTGAAGGGCCTGTGGTTGTGTTGGGATGTCACAATACCAACATTAGTTGTTGATATAGATACCACTGAAATCACTCAATTCTCAGTACTACAGCAAAAAAAAATCATTTTAATAAAAACTTTTCTTGGTTAAAACTAGGAGAATCAACATACTATAAAGAATTATCAATAAACAGTAGTAAACCTACTTACAAATTAACATTAAACATAATAGTGGCTTTAAATGACAGTTTTGTTATACAATCTTTAACTGAGGCAGTGAAAAGAAGAAAAAACAATTAGTAGAAAATTAGAACACTGACTACTATCCAACTAGTTTAAAAGATTATTTTAAAATAAGCAGTTTAGCACAGAACGGAAAGAAATTTGGGCAAGAAACGTCATTTATTTTTTCTTTTGCATCCTGTAATCATGTGTGACATTTAGCTTGGTACTACTGACACTAGGCAAAAACTAGTATTATTACATTTTCTGAACATTTGTACTGATATGCCACCAAAAATATTAGTTCTTGTGAAATCACCAGACAAAATGTATAAGTTTATGCTCCTGAACTGAATTACTGAGCTAAAGTACTGGTGAATGAAGGGACTGTACTACAGTGTGCTGTGGTATACGAGTGCGTGTCATACTTATCTCTCGTGGCAGTCACACATTCCTCCTCCCAGCCCTGCTTCAAGATCCTCATCATGGTCTCCCTGGAGGAGTTCTTGTAAACCGTGCCCATGAAGTTACAGAGGTACGGTCTGGCGGAGTTCACCAGCTGGCTGTTTGGCACGACCACTGGGAAATCCCTGTACCTGGATGACCAAACATGCAGATAACTCTGTACCAGCCGTCAACCCTTACTGAGATAATCAGCTTAAAAGTATGGATGGACTGATAAATGTATATCACTTAAAAAAAAAAAATAGGTTAATATTATGTATTATTATCATTGTTTACTTTTATCTACCCAGTAACAGTCAAAAAAGCAATGGATAAAAGTGTGGCACTCACGTGGCCACGCCCAGAGGCCACTGGAGGACGTCATGCTCGTTGACCCAGGGGCTGTCATACACCAGGAAGAGGCAGTCCACAAAGCCGCCATGGCTACGCAAGTAGGGGTGGAGCCAGTCGTTGGTGCAGCGCTCGTCACCTAGCAGAACGACAGCCACACCCAACACAGAGCCGGCCCGCGACAATGCGCCTACGTGCTGCAGCCACCGGGTGGCGTAGGAGATCTTCTGTTCCTCATGCCCATTGAGGACCAGCACTATGTGGGCTGTGTCCAAAGGAAGGTGACCCTGGACCACAGCTGGGCCTGTGTAAAAACTGGGGTTGTAGTACACAGGTTAGAGACTTAGTAGCGGCTCATGACTGTCCATAAATATGCTAGAGGAACCTGCAAGCCATTGAAATCCCTGTTACACTGTGTTCTTGAAATTCCTTCAGAACCCCCCCCAAGCCTCAGACAATGTGTTCTTCTCAAACCCGAAACCTGATGCCTCTTAAAAACATTTCCATCTCCTCAGATCATTTTTGGTTTGTCACACTTCTTTTATCAAAGGGAACTAGCTGGTGGTCTGAAATGAAAATTACCTTTCCCCAGTCATATTTAATTTAAGAGGCTGTCAGGTTGAGGATTTGGTATAGAAACAGCAAATAAGCTTTTGTTTACTGAAGCTGGCTCCCAGCATTGTCAGGCAGACAGAGAATCCTCATTGAGGCAAACGTCCAAGCTTCATTACAACTTAAGTTTCAGTGGTGTAAAAGGATATTTTTACTGTATGCAATCAATATATCTGACTATTAGTAGTACTCTTAAACTACATTTAAAATTAGTCAAACCTCGGATTGCGAGTAACTTTGCGAGTGTTTTGCAAGACAAGCAAAAATGTTTAATAAATTTTATCTTGATAAACGAGCGAGGTCTTGCAATACGAGTATTATGAATATGCTTTGTCTGCCTAGTGTCATGTAATCACAACTTGGCCGATGGTTCTTCTCTCTCTCTTGCTGCGGGATTGTGGGTAATCGTCTCCCATGCTCGATCCCAGTCGGTGTGTCTCACTTGTATAGTCAAAATTTAGTAGACAAGCACCACCCGAATAAGGGTGTAGCAGTGCGAGCAATGAATCTGTTTAACGTCCACATTTCCGTGAAATCGAAAAGGAGGCAAAAGTGGCTGTCATTGGATAGGTTCCTTGTTAGTTGCACAAAAATAAAAAGATTACAGCGAGCCAGATAGCAGTGATTCCGTTATAGTGAAAGTCAACCAACAAAATAACCCTCCTCTTCTCCTCTCCCTCACACCATCCACGATTCTTTTCAAAGTGCAGGTAAATTTGTTTTATGTATTCTTACTTAATATTTTGTATAAAAAAAAAATTTATGAATATTTTTTGGTTGTGGAATGAATCATCTGAGTTTCCATTATTTCTAATGGGAAAATTCGCTTTGATATACAAATGCTTTGGATTACGAGCATGTTTCCGGAATGAATTATGCTCGCAATCTGAGGTTTTACTGTAGTTTTAATAATAGGGTACATTTTTTTTAATCCTTTTGGTGCACAATTATAATGCTTAGTTGTGTAGCGCTCTACATACCAAGTTAAAACTGCAAACCCACCCAAACACAATGCTTGTTCACTGGGCAAGTGAGAGATGTGACCTTCATTTGATAGGTGACATAACCTGAGTGTAAATAATGTGTTTCTGGGGTATTTCTCTGATGAAAGGTTGAACTTTGCAAAAACTATTTCTTCCTCTTGAAAAAGGACCAGGGTAGGACTGAGACACAAAGGTGACGTAATCATGATCGCTTTGGTCATTTGAAACGGAACTACAACATATAGTCAGAAATAACTGCAGTTTTGCTTTTGATCCTCTTGGCCAAGGGGGGAGAACCTGATCCATGGAGAGCCGCTGTGGGTGCAGGTTTTTGGGATGACCTCTCAATCAACCAGTAACAGTGGGTCCCCAAGCCCCGAGTTGAGAACCACTGCTTTATTATTGGCCGATTGAGAGGTCATCTAAAAGACCCGCACCCACAGTGGCTCTCCATTAATCAGATTCACCACCCCTGCACTTTGCCATGAGCTCAATTAGAGAATCTCTCAGAAGAGCCTCCATGTTACAAAGGCACGTTGTGCAGCTGAAGATATAAGCTTCTCTTAGTATCTTACATGTAGTGACTCTCCAATGCATTCTAATATCACACCGGCTTAACCATATTCAGCATTAAAACAAAACTTGCTTCAACTAGTTAAATGATTGCATTCCACATCAGCATAATAATTAAACTTCCTACTTCAGAAATAAATGAAGTAGTACAGTACCTATACCGATTCCAGAAAACAAAGTCCAGCCTGCCTCCCCCCATAAACACATGGCCTGGATCTCTGTATGCACCATGTGATTTATATTTTAATTAAAAAAAAAAGGCTCGCCAGTCAAAGACACCATATCGCTACCTGTGTAACCCTACAATGCCATTCGATTACCAAATTTTGTTTGAGATGTGAATTTACCTGGTTTTACAGAATGTGATTTCCTAAGTGCTTGTGCCCTAGACAAGCTGGACTTTCCCAGATAATACGGAAAGGCAGTTGAAATCTGTTTGTTTTAACATTATACTACAGCACGTGTGCGCCTGCAAAGTCTACCTTATGTCTGACTGGCTTGTGCAGACACATGAGCTTCAGAAAAGGATAACCTCATAGCTAAAGATTACTGTAAGAGATGGGCAAAACCCAAAGTGAAACAAAATCATATCCTGGCTAGATGTCTGGCTGGCTTATGGTACAGATGGCCAGTGGATGAAACGAAGAGATGGGGGAAGGCAAACACCTGTAATTTTACTACCTGACTACGTGCTGGGCGCATACAGACACTTTAAATTTCCTCAGGCAGCTGACTGCTTGAATTTACCAAGGTGGTCCAGTTTTCCATTCAGTTCTGATCAAAACCAGTTGTGCAGGTTATGATACCTACACATTAAGTGCAGCAGGGGTCTGTATTACACAGCTGAAGGATGGGCTCCCCCTTTGAGTCTGGTTCCTCCCAAGGTTTCTTCCTTCTCGGGAGTTTTTCCTTGCCACTGTTGCCTATGGCTTACTCACTGGGGGCTTTGGGTGGGGATGCTGTAAAGCGCTTTGAGACAATGGAATGTTGTGATAATGCGCTATACAAAAATAAATTTGTTGTTGTTGTTTCAACATCAAACACTTGCACATTTGAACAATAAGCATACTCCCTTAACATCAGAGCATTCATAACCATCACAAGCCATAGTGGAATGCTAAGTGATGCTATCTTGTAAAGGCACCTATCCTACTCATCTTCCATATCTCAGAGAATGAGAGTAAATGACCAGGCACACAAACAATCTGGGAGATCACAGGAATTTCTGAAAGACTGCAGAATAAAGTCTTTTTTCATATATAATTAGGAACAAATAATCCTTTTACATAACTTCTCCATTTTGGTGAGGCAAATGGAAGCTTTTTTTTCTTTTTCTTTTTCTTTAAATAAAATGTTGACTGTTGACTATGAAACTGAGTTTTGTAGAACTAGAGAAGCTTCTTTAACTGATTACATTGACACAGCACTGATCAGAAGCAGTGAGTGTCCACAGTGAACAGCTGTATGCTTATTACCACAAGAGGGGAGCAGCACCACACAAATGAACGAATCCTGCTTTTGGGGACAATCTAGGAAGATGAAGAATAAATGCTAACAGCTCACTACATCACCCCTGTTACTGCTTGTGCATAACCATATATTCAGGGTATAGTCAAATCATAGGGTACGCACAGCGAGATCAGTGCATTAAATCACAGAGGTTCCTCCGCACTATTTCAATTATTTTAATTGTCATTTTCAAGTGTGTCTTTTCTATTCTACTTTCATGACTGGCTGAACCCTTTAAGCTTCCTCAGCGCACATGACCCACATAAATTAGCAGCAGCACCACCTATTTTAACAAAGAATGCTAAGTCTCCAGAAAATATTTTTTAAAATGATGAATGTTTTTCTTTGAAGAGATTTCAATGAAATATTGGATTTTTCCTCATTTTTTTCAGTGCGAGATGAAGCTACTTGACTAAAAGGTGAATTTTTTTTTCGAACCCTTTCTGAAAATCTTTACAAGGGGTGCCTATAATTGTGGAGGGCAACATATCTATATATTTATGGAAAAAATAAGTTTGCAGGCAGGTGCTGACTCCTGCATCTGGAATACATGCTTGGAAAAACATCTCAAAATCAAGAGAATACTGCATGGAAAAGGGTAGAAGCTTAAAGGATTAAATAGCAAACAGAGATTGACTAAGACCCATAGTCACCACCATCCTAGGGTCTCAGGGAAAAACAAACAGCACTAACGTAGAATTGGGAAGTATGGAAGAACTCACCTGAAGACTGTATTTCCTGAGACCACCTCCCCTTCCCTCCACTGTGCTGTTCGGTGTGTGGGGGACAGCGTTCCATCTAATATGTGCTCCCAAAGATACAGCCCTGCACAAAGTTAGTAGAGCTTTTTAAAACATTTATATTTATTTATTCAGCAGATGCTTTTGTCCAAATTAATTAGTGAAAATAGCATGAGGTCAGAGAAGTCCAATACAAGACCTTGAGTCTGAACACTGAATTTACCATTATCATTTAAAAGCAAAACAATATTATTTAAGCATGACAATCCTTTGATCTCAAACATTAGTATTTAATCAAATACCCAACACTAAACCCGTGCTAACCTGATCAAATTTTCATGTGAGCCACTTAGCGTGAGAGATGTGTAAAAAGCTGTATGTAATACAGTGAGTAATCCATGGTAAAACTGGCTGTTTATTTGAAAGGTAAAATAATATAACTAGCACACACTGTAATAAGGGTCATCCACATGCATACACCATGTCCTTACAGTGGGGTTGGCAGCAATAAAACTCGCTGAGTGGGGTGGGGGAAAAGAAAAAGAAAAAAAACAATGGATCAAACGGTGATCAGAAAATACAGAATACAGACAAATTTCATCCTGTAATGCTTCAAAAAAGGACAAAGCTTTTTATTTTTCAAAAAGGGATAATCCCCTACTATAAGAAATGGATGGCAACTCTATTCAGAAAAGTAATTTCCCCCTTCAATCCTGTGAGCTCAGTAATATTTTTAATCATTTAGGGCAAAAAACAAATAACGATAAATGATTTCTGGTGTGTCCGAGTATGACTGCTGTTTTTTTCTACTAGTGGAACCTGAAATATGTAAAACCGATAATGTAATGACAAGGCAAACCAATCAAAGAAGTCATGCAAAAGGCAAAAGTGTGTGCGTGCATGTTAGAAAATCCCTTTTGTGATTAACACAAATCGAATAACTGACACTGACATCCTGTTATAAAGGAATTTCCAAACTTACTTTACTTTAGAGTCTAAAGCAGGGGTGGGGAACCTGATCCATGGAGGGCCAGTGTGGGTGTAGGTTTTTGGGATGGCCTCTCAATCAGCCAATAATAAAGCAGTGGTTTTCAAATTCAGTCCTGGGGACCTTCTGTTATTGGCTGATTGAGAGGCCATTCCAAAATCCCGCACCCACACCGGTTCCCCATCCCTGGTCAAAACCAAGTTGCTCCAGTCCAAGACTGATTCAAGAGCAATTGGAAATGGTTTCAATTCAAAGACTAGACTAAATGGAAAAAGCGATATGAAGACTGCTCTTGAAACTAAGACTGGACTCACGTACAACACTATTCAGGGCAATATGTGACTCAAAAACAAGTTTGATGAGAAGGTGAGATATATTTATAAAATAAGATGCAGAAGAAAAAGGAGATGGTAAATAGAGTAAGCTGAGCAGGGTTAAAAGCGCCACCATAGTTAAGCTGTGTGGTGCATTTCCAGGGAACATGTGTGAGCAGGAGGAAGGCAGCTGACATGCAGGTCTACAACTAAAACTAGGGAGAGAACAAAGTTCACAATGCAATAGCAGAAATCAAGCGAAAACACAATAATTTTATTGAAGTTGTTCCTTGCTCACTCATATTAAATTCTGCTTTATGAAAAAAAGTACTATTCTTGGATCACACTGCAGCCCCACATTATTTGTAAATGTATTTCACATGTATTGTAAATTTAGTACATTAGTTGAATTTCTTACTTTCTGGAAAAGAAAAAAAAAGTCTGTTCTCGGTGTAATTCAGTATGAACAGTCACTGAAACACCAGCAGAGGAATCACTGAAATTATTCAGTATTCAGACCAACAATGAGTCATATAAGACATAACACAATAACTATATAACCAATGACCCACGAGGTATTGCTATGAAGCTAAACAAAGCAGGATATTAATGAATGATCCCACAACCGATACAACTCACCAATGGCAGCTTTGCCCCAGATCTGCACCCTGTATCTCTGGGGCTTGTTCTTGGAAACATGTTGTTGGTACAGCCGAAATGCCTCCCTCCGCCTCTGTAGGTGCAAGAGCCCAAGCTGCTCATCCTCCTCCCATGGATTCCATTTCCCTTCTCCCCCAGGCAAGGGCAGGCTGCTTCGGTGCTCTGAGCCTACTGGTCGAACATCTGGAAGCACAGAGATGGCCATAAGAGAGACCCCATTTGCCAGTACAAACAACCATCTCAGTCAACCCATGCACAATGCTCCTACATTCCTATCCACAAAGTTTATAGCAATTGAGGCTTCCCAGCAAAATCCATGAGGTATCCTTCAAGTGGTTAGAGTATCACAATGAAAGTCTGGCTTTCTATTAAAGAGGACAAAATGTAAAGCAGCACATCGGCATTTAAAATGCAGCCAAAACTACATACCAATGCTGATGGCAATCTATAAGAAGACAATACTAAAAGACAAAAAGGAAGCAAACACTCAGTTGTGTATGGAAATTGAAACTGTTGTAAATGTCAAACTTATGACCCATATTCCATGTAACACTAAAATGGTCACCAAGTTGCCTGCTTTAAAACATCTATTCAATTGGGGGGACACTATGAGCTAATTAATTGAATTCTTCTTCTGCATTTACTGGTTTGTTTCCATGATTGAAAGTCTCATCCAAATGTTTTACATTAACATTAGTGACACATGCTTAATTATAGGAAACTGACCAATCGCACATAGCAAGAACTCAGCGCTAAAGTAAAATCCAGGCCTTTTTAATTGAAACGGTAGGTTACAGTACCTGTCCTAGCTCATAGTGTTCCCCCTGACATGTCTTTGGTGGTCACACTGCTATTCAGTTATGGCTATTCTTAAGCCTTATGAAGCTGAGGCTACTTCTCGAATCCATCTAACTCTATTTACTACAACCTGAACGGAAAACGCCAAACTAATCATTTAAAGACAACAAATGAATAACAACACCTAATAATACAATCTCTAACAAGGGTCGGGTAAATGCTTCACTTACCGACAGGAATCTTTTTGACAACTCTGTGCACTCGGGAAACAACTTTTACACTGAAAAATACACTATATGCAGCATACAAGGAAAATATTACATATACAAAAATAATAAAGTAGCATATCCTTCTATATGTGAATTTCATCTTTTTGCGTTTACGTTATCATTCTGTATTTGTATTTCCATCCGCTGTCATTCCGCCCGCGCTTATTGATAGTTTCATAGATGACATTTTGATAGCATTTAATGCGCCGGGACTTTACGGCCACGACGAAGGACCCCGGCGCGTCAGTGACGTCAGACCGCTAAATAGGAAATTGCCTCCACAGAAACACTAGTATGACGAGTATTTGTAAAGAAAAAATGCAAGGTACTATGAATTGAACTGAACTGAACTTACCACAACTTACCTATAGATTCACCCACAGTCATTGTACAAACGTTAAATTACTTACAGTGGTCTGGTGTATATCTGCTTAGATATATGAGCAGGGAGTTGGATTTTCTGCCATAAAAAATTTTCAAAAAACTCATTTTAGGGCATTGACCATATCACCACTAGATTTGGTATCATCTCCAGATGGTTGTAACTAAAAGTTGTTCAAACCTTTATGTTAATGCAAATGATATGGCCGTTGTCATCCAATGAATTTCATGGCAAAACCATCAAATAAGTCATAGGTCATATCTCAATAAGCAAAAATGTAGTTTTTGTAATGTGTTTTGATGTATTGGCCTTATGCAAGTGGTTGTTATGTCTGGAGATTGTCAGGATCTGTTTCTGCAATAAGCAAAAATCCATTTTGGCTAATAATTGTTTGCTTTAAAAAAATTAATCTTATCTTCTCATGCCATGGGATGTACATATACAGATCATTTGAAATTTTTATGTCCACCTAATTGATGTGGCCATTATATTGGATTTTATTGAACATGTAAAAATTTTTCCAATCTTTGTCAGAAATTATCTTCATACCAAGCCTCACAATGAGTATCAGACAGATTTTTGGTGTTCAAAGCTGATTGTCCATCATTGCCAAATAAAAAAACAGAGCCTCATCAATCAGGATGTGTGACCATATTGCAGCAACGATTTGATGTTTTGAGACCAAACTTAGGATATGGACTTGAGGCTACAGCATGGGGATGTGTACCAAATTTTATTTAATTTGACCACTGGGGGTGCTGCAATGAGCAAAAACATGTTTTTCCTGATACATTTTGATGTATTGGCCTTATAAAAGTGGGTGTAGTGACTGGGGATTGTCATGATTTCTCTGACATCCAAGTTTCTCAATTACTCACAGTTGTCTCCAGTTTATAACTCATTACTGGTGTATACATGTGCCTCGACGTGCTGTTACCCTGTGAGTCATTGTTAGTGCTGTTCTCACTTGCGGTTTGCTACCATATACAGAGGTGATTCTAGGGATCCTGGGGGCCCTCCAATTCCCCCTGGCATTGTAAAATGTATTACCTTTATTTTACTCTGAAGTGTAAATAGTATATCAACAAAGAGAATTTAATAAACAAAATACCTTTATTTTCACTTTTGTGAAAAACAGAATATACAAATAAAGCAATTTGTTGTTGCAATGTATTATATAATTGACCACCCTCAGGGCCCCCTCCCAGCTCGGGGTTCCAGGCCATTGCCTGCCCTCACTGTTTTGTCACTGCGCCTCTGACCATATCCTGTCCTTGTCTAAATTCTGTTGACACCCAAGCCTTTTCTGCTTCTCTCCTTGCTTCACTCTGATTTAGCATCAACCTTTACAAACCTTTGCAAATCTGGTTTCTGTTCACTTCACAGTACTGAGACACTCCTTAATATTGATGGACAAAATGACACTTCATGAACCATGTGCTGTATTTTTTGATACAGATATTGGTCTCTGATCAAAAATGGGCACAAAGCAAGCCCCGAAGCAATCCAAGACCAACATCTAGTGGGGTCAAAAATACAGCAAATGGTTCATGAAGCATTATTTTGTCCATCACTAGTATGAACAACTTGTGATGACTTCCTTTTTTCCTTGGTGTTTGAACCTTTCTGTATCAGTTAATTAACTTTACCTGCTCCTTGTTGCCCCTAGTCTCTTTATGGTATATGTTATTATGTTCCTATGATATTGTATTTCTTCTCTCTGATATTGTATTACTGTGCGTATTATTGATATTGTAAAGCAACCTAAAATTTGAGAAAGGCGCTATATACAATAACCATATCATGTTTAATGTCCTATGTCATAATTTTACTCAAGCTTTCCCTGTGTCTAGGTCAGCCCCCGTCTCTCCTGATTTATCCACCCCACCTCTTGTTTTGACCCTAAACCCTCCTTTTGTTTGTGATCCAGAGTGAAGTTGTTTCCATAGCATTATGCCCTGGTAGCATGCTTGGCCCCATTATTGTTGCTTAAAGCTATATTTATTATTGCAGTTGTCATTGTGGCTGTTAATGGAAAATAATCATACAACAACTAGATACAATCCAAAATTGTCTTATGAAGATCAAAAATTAAAATTTGAATTACCCGCTATATAAATATGCAAGTAGCATATTCAATATTATTGTTATCAGGTGAGTACACCATGTTGCCACACCCACTACATGACAAAATGTCACCGGGCACAGAGCACACGAGATAACGGGACTTCCATGGAAGGACTTTATTTACTTGACCAGGCAAACAGAGTTGGAGGGGGCGATCAGAAGACGTAATCGGGGCATGGAGCAAGGGGTCTGGGAAGCCGGTGAAGTCAAGCCGAGGGAGGACACAGGACGTGGGACAGGCGGACACAGGGGGGAGTCGGGAAAGCGGGGAGTACCGGGAACAACACGGAAGGACTGGGCTAGGGCTGCAAAGAAGACAAGGAGCGAAACGCTCAGTAAGTTGCATGGGAATCAACAATACCTCATACCGAGGAGAGCGAGGTGACTCCTTTTAAAGCCACTGGTACAGGTGGACAAGATTCCGCAGATTAGGGAGTGCGCTCCGTCCGTCGGGGGCGTGGTCGAGACGTGACACAAAACACCTCAGGATCCCAACTGGTGACCCTCCAGGCCGACACGGTGTCCAGTCCCATCCTCCAGTAATGGCCACCTATCTGTTGCAGCCAGGTGTTATGTAAGTATCCCCTTGGCCTGGTCCAGCCACACAGGTCCTCAGCAATGAGGATCCTGCGAGCTGGATCACCCTCAGGGAATTGCGCCACATGGCCATAGTGCCGTAACTGTTGCTCCCTCACAATGCAGGTAATGTGCCTCAACCGGTTCAACACAGAGTCAAATCAGTGGTACCCAAGGATTGGAGAGAAATATTTGGAGCTTGGTGGTGGGATTGGCACTCTAGCCACCATAAAAACAAAGCTCCAACAAAGCAGACAGGACTTTTTTCTGCTCTCCGTGGGATTAGTTCTGCTGCAGCCGCCTATAGGAAGGCTGCATGCATGATGAAGGGGATGGGGGAAAGCCCTCAGGAACTTCATCCCCAGAAGAGTGAAAACTGCCAGAGAGCCAACGGGGTCAGGCCGGGATTGTAACTGGTGTGGTGCTGAGATGTTGCCCGCAGCATAATCTAATCTGAGGCGGCCCATCTGAGTATGCACTTATGTAAGTCGCTCTGGCTAAGGGCGTCTGCCAAATGCTGTAAATGTAAATGTAAAATGTTAATGTATGTGCATAGAATGGCATTATTATGATGAGATAAAATTAGTATTTGAAAACAGTCTCTTATGTTAATGTCTAATTTCATAGTAGGACGAAGATAAGTTTGTCTGTATACTCCATACATCAAATATATACCCTAATCAGCCTGAGGTATTAAAAGCTATACATGGTTCCTTCAGATTTTTATATATTTACAATTCTTGAGTTAGGTCACTTTCCATAGTGTTCTGATCAAAATGCCTCGGTGATATATGGTAGCAACATGGTCTCATGCCTTTGAGCAATGGGGACCTAGGGCACCATCTTCTGAGGGAGTGCCAACTTAGCAAACTGCGACCCCCCCCCCTCCCCCCAACAACCTTCACCACCAGTTGCCTCTGTGGTGCGCCATCTGACACAAAGTCAAATTGGCCAGTGAAGCTTGCCTAGGGCTCTATATGGGATTTGACTGGCACTGTCTCAATGGGTTTAGGTTCAGTTCTTGTCTCATGTGAAGTTCCAAGGCTCTTCATTTACTTTTTGTACATCAGAACACAGGATTTCTTATTCCCATTACCCAGTCAGTAACACATAACATCTAACACCATTATACAACATAAAACAAAGGCACTCAAAAAACATACTCACAAGTAGACATATGACTATGTACTGTAGAAGCACACATTTCTGCAATAAATGTAAAATAAACAGAAGAAATTACTGAAAAAGGCTAAATAAATTAGAAATATATGCAATAAATGCAAAATAAAGAAATAGCTGAAATTGTGTTAATAGTAGAGTTGCCTGATTCCTGATTCTGACCCGGGGTTGTATTTGGACTATACTGAAGGAAGACAAGAGGTAGTGACTTGTTGTGCATGTTTTGCTACTCTCTGTAGTGATCTCCATTCCAGTAGCATTATTGTAATGGATTTTAGGACATCTCAATAGTGCTGTGCTAAAAGTCCATTCCTGCACTTCATAGAATTGATCATATTCATAACTATATAGCAAATATTAAAATATTTATGTCACTGTAATCCTAAACCTAATTTCAATAAAGTGTAGTCCTATTTAGTCTGTATCCTGAGCCTTCATTTTTGTAACTATTAAACTGGTGAGCTCATGCTTAGAAAGTTAAGCTGACAGACATTTTCTCAAATACAATCATTATAGAAATAAAAGTCAATTATTGGAGTGACTTGATTAAAATACGACTAGGCTACATAGATTTACATTACTGTTTTGCTCTGCATTATACAGTATGTGCGACACAAACACACAAACAAAAGCCAGAACATTATCTTAGCAGAAAAGCACATCTCTAGTTTGCTTTATTGTAAGAGTTTTCAGTCTGTGTCCCCTAAATGCCGAACAATGAATTAATGTCGAATGTCGAACAAAGAATTAAATAGCACCAATTAGCTTTCAAAATCTCACGGTTTTTCCTAACAATGCAGTTGTGTTAGGCTAACTGGAAACATATGTCTTCATCGATCAAACTTTCATGTCTCACCAGCATAATCCTTTTCAATCTGAAGAAGTAAGTGAGGCCACCTCCAACACCGTCTGAAAAAACAGGACAAATTGCATCCTAACTTGGTTCAAACACAAAAAA